CTCCCCCTCTTGAGTTCTTGTGGCTGGACTAATAATACAATTGACTCAAGACAGAGTAACAGGAGAAAAAGAAACTAACTTTAATTCAAAGAAATGAGACTTAAGAAGTGGCCAAAGCAGGCAGCTTTTATACTTTTTAGACAAAGAAACAATAAATTTGTGAGGAAATGACAGGACAAAGAATTTTAGGTTTTGGGTGCTCAGTTAGTGAAGAATCTAAACAGAATTAGGTTTAGCTGGTAAATTAAAGAAGTAGTAAGGTTTGCTTATACAGGTCTCTTGGCCCTAAATTCCATCTCTGGTGATAAGGATGTCTCGAGACCTTCTGGAACAGGAAAAGCGCCTTTCACACAGGAGATTTCCTGCTTTCAGGGAAACAGAGGTGGGTCAAAGCATCCCTCTTTCACCAGCTCTTTCTTATGTAGCTTGCCTTCAAAATAATCAATATGCCAATGTGAATGAAAAATGCTGCTTGCCATATCAGTCTGCCAAATAAACCATAATTCTCAGTTTTAGGTTTTTTCAGTTGACAATATACTTTTGACCAGGGACAGCAATCAGTTAAGTGCTAACTGCTAGTAGTAGTGGTGGTGGTAGAAATAGTAAAAGTCCTAATAATAGTACAGTTAGCTGCTATTTTGATTATCACTACCTAGTCACAGAATTGGGAAACCAAAACTAGTTCTTCACACATTCATTCTTGATACCTACTCCCAGAAACTCACACACTCACAGGGTCATACACACAACCACAAGCCCTGGGTTCCCTCTGCACATACCCTGATATTCTGATTTATAATAAGAAATACGTTCATCACCAGTTCCTGGCACAGAGCTCCCCAAACTCTTGGAATTTCCTTTGTGAGGAGCCAGATCAAGGTGTCTTTTGTTATGTTAATGAACGACTAGTGGGGGGTTGGTTGCCACGGGAACCAACCCAATTACTCAGCAGTTAGAACTTTCAGTTCCACCCCTAGACCTCCAGGGAGGAAAGAGGGCCTAGAGACTGAGTTCAATCACTAACGGCCAATGATTTAAGCAATCATGCGTAAGTAATGAAGCCTCCACAAAAACTCAAAAGGACGCAGTTCAGAGAGCTTCCGGGTTGGTGAACACATGGACACACTGGAAGAGCGGTAAGCATGGAAGCTCCGTGCCCCTTCCCACACATATCTTGCCCTATGTATCTCTTCCATCTTTCCACTCCCGAGTTATATCCTTTTATAAAAATTGGTGGGTGATCTAGTAAGTAAAGTAAGTGAACATTTCTCTGAGTTCTGTGAGTTGCTCTAGCAAACTAATCAAACCCAAGGAGGCGGGGGGCAGTCATTGGAACCTCCGATCTATAGAGGGTCAGTCAGAGCACAGGTGATACCTGGACTTGTGACTGGCACCTGTGGGGGGTGGGGGCATCTTGGGGACCCAGCCTTTAATTAACCTATGGGAATCTGGCTCTATCACCAGCTAGACAGTGTCAGAGTTGAGTTGAATTGTTAGGACTCCCAGCTGCTTTCAGAAAATTGCTTGATGGTGGGGGGGAAAAAATCCACACACCGGAATTGAAATCAGAATTATACATACACACACACCTCTAAAAACGCAAAGCTGGATCACTACACACACACACACACACACACACTGGTTTCCCAAACGCTCATACACAACCACAAAAAGTGGGCCACACGCATACTTGTACAAACGCACACTTCCAGAAATGGGAGCTTCTACACACACTCACTGTCTGCGGGTCCACAGACAACTACACAACCACAAAAAATGGGATCTACACAGTCGGTATTTTAAGCTTTGTGGGCCAATTTCTGTGGCAACTGCTCAGCTCTGCATTGCGCAAAAACAGCCATACATGACACATCGAGGTGCACGAGCACACACATTCAAAATGAATTTACACACACACGTACACAACCACAAAAACTGGGTTTCTCACACACGCAAAACACAAGGGTACACAACCACAAAAATCCGGTCACACGCGTTCACAAAGTTTCATCCTCACACATACACACAATAACACAACCTGGGCCTCACACACATAAATGCACAATGACCACCCGGGACCCGCAAGCCCAGACCTCAGAGGCGGGTTCACACCTCCCGTCTTCTCTCACAGACTCGCGGTCACCTCACGCACCGCCACAGGAGGTCGCTCGCGTCCCCGCCCGGCCGACGCGCAGCCGCGTCACTACACGAAGCGGAAACGAGTCGCAGGGGCTCCTGGGAGATGTAGTCTGGGGCCTGGAAAGGCGCCGCGCAAAGGACTCTGGGGCTGTTCGTTCAGAGAAAGCGCAAGCGATATCCCACCCCTGGCCTGGAGCAACATCCCTTCGCTCCTCTCCGGGGTCCATTCGTGTCCGGGCCGGGATCCCTCAACCTCACGATCCGGGAGTGGCCGTCCTGAACGGCGCAACGTACCGGAGGCTTCTGGGACGTGCAGCCTGGGCTCGCAGTGCGCATGCGCGAGCGCGTGCGTTACGGTCCGTGGGTGAGCCTGGCTCCCCAAACCCCTCTGAGCTCCAGGGGCAAAGGGGAGGGTGTTGGGGCTAGAAGCCCCCGGACGGGAACGTGTAGGTGTGGATGCTGGGGAGGCTGGGTTTGGTTGAAGGGATCAAGGAAGGGTCTCAGCACCCGAAAACATCTACGTGATTTTATAAAGACAGCAACAAGTGGGGCCCTGGGAAGCGCTAGGCGGCCCTTGCGCGTGCGCGCGGCGCAGCGTGTTCCGAGGGCTGGTGTAGGGGCGGGGCCTCGGGCGGGCACGCGAGCGGCGATGCCCCCAAGAGCGGCTCTGAGTGCGCGAGCGCGCCTGCGTATGCCTGCCTGTGAGTGGGTTGGGGGCCTCAGGTCTGTGCCTGTGGAAAGGTCCCGGGAGAGGTGAGTAAGCGCCTGCGCACCGCGTGGCTTTATTTAGGGGCGGGGGCCTCGCGCTCCTGTGGAGGCCTAGGGGCGGGGCCGCGGCTCGCCGACGTGTCTCGCGCGTGAGGGGGCGGGTCCAGCCAGTGCCGACCGAGGGCCGCGGAGGAGAGTACGCAGGCGCGGGGAGCGCGGGGAGCGCGCCGTGCCTGCGCAGCTGCCGGGGTGGGCGCTGCCGGGACGCGACCCTGGAGGACAGGTTGAGTGTGGCTGTGGGTGTGCGCCCACGGCTGCCTGGAATTTTCCGCCCGTGACCGCCTGTGGGGTTTTGTCTGGTTGTGTGGTGACGGAGTGTGAGGTGAGGGACTGTGTTTGAAGCGTGTGGTGGCGTCGCTGTGTTGTGAGAGGAGAGCGGGTTGTGGCGTTTCTGCGTGTGTCTGTGACGGAGCCAGCCGTGTGGTGACGGGGATGTGCCTCAGGACCATGTTCGTATTTCACCGCAAGGTCTGTGGTGTTTATGTGAGGAGGAGGTGACTGCGCCTGTGGGAGGGGGGCCGGGAGTGGGTATGTAAGTGTGGCTGTGAGAATTTGTGTTGTTGAAGCGCGTTCGTGTGTGTGTGTGTGTGTGTGTGTGTGTGTGACCGACTGATGTAGGTGGCCATTTATCGCCGTCTGGAGTGGCTGCGTGATTTGACCGGGTGGCTGTATGACTGAGCTTCAGTGGCTTTGCGGTTGTGAGTGTGTGGCAGTGTGCGACTGCGCTGTCGAGGTGTATCTCTCCCTGTAAGCGTGGAAGGAGAATCCCTGTGGGGAGGACTCAGCGGCTTTACGGGCGTGCAGGCTCCTGGCAAGGAAGTATGTGTGCGGTTGTGGGAGGCTTTCCTTCTCGGTAAAACGGGATAACACCTGCGTCAGTTTTGGGAAAATTATATAAATGGGGTAACGTAGTGAAATACCCCGTTGCCGAGCTTGGCACTCACCAGGCCCTGTGTAGGTGCTGGGTGTTTGTTGGAGTGCTGGTGGTCGTTTTTCGTTGTCCCCGTGCAGAGGTAGAAGCGCGGTGGTGAACGCTGGAGAAATTTGCATCTCTGACCTTGAGATTGAGCAGTGCTTCTCAGAGCTGGGGATCTGACCTCTTCTAGCTGAGAAGCGGTGCCCCAGTAGCCCAGCTGCTCCTTGTTGTCTGTTATTGCATTAGTGCATTTGAAGGGAGGGCAGTGTCTGCCCTGGTCTCTGGGACCTGAGGCTGCGTATGGTTGTGTGTCTGCTTCCTAACCAGTGTAGCTTGGGGGACTCTGGGACTTCTGGTTCCATCACTCAGTAGTTCTGTGACTTTGGGAGAGGTCACTTAAATTGCTGACCCTCAGTTTCACCTGCAAAATGGGGATAATAATAGTACCAATCTTAGGCCTGTGGTGAGCGTTAAGTAGAACAGTGCCTGACACAAGTAAGCAACGAATAAATGCTAATTGCTTTATTATTAACCTAATGACCCCAAGGATTCCACACCCAGAGAATCAAATCCACAGGAAGAAAAGCAAGAAGTGGAGCCTCAGAGAAAAAGTTGCAGGTTAAGAGATAAAGTAATCCTAAAGGCTAAATTGAGCTTAGGTTCAGAATTTTCTAGTCGGGGTCCTAGGAGGGCACGAACAGAGGGTCTTCCTTTATGGAGATATCCCTAGGGAGCCTGTGGGGTCAAGACGCAAGCACTCAGAGTTAATTTCTTTCATTCTGAGAAGCCCACTGGTCAAGACCCAGTGGCAGGGACTGAGGAGGAGTATCTCCTGATAACACAGCGATCTAGAGACATCTCCGTGTCTAGACCAGGGTTTCTCAGGCTTGGCACTTTGTTGTTTTTTTTTTTTTTTTAAATAAATTTATTATTTATTTATTTTTGGCTGCGTTGGGTCTTCGTTGTTGTGCGTGGACTTTCTCTAGTTGCGGTGAGCTGGGGCTTCTGTTTGTTGCGGTAAGCGGGCTTTTCATTGCAGTGGCTTCTCTTGTTGCGGAGCACGGGCTCTAAGCGCGCGGGCTTTCAGTAGTTGTGGCTCATGGGCTTCAGTAGTTGTGGCGCGCGGGCTCTAGAGCGCAGGCTCAGTAGTTGTGGCGCACAGGCTTAGTTGCTCCGCGGCGTGTGGGACCTTCCCGGATCAGGGCTCGAACCCGTGTCCCCTGCATTGGCAGGCAGATTCTTAACCACTGCGCCACCAGGGAAGCCCCAGCCTTGGCACTTTGGATGCCTTGGGGCAGATAATTGAGAGATGGGGGAGAGCTGTCCTATATATTTTCGGATGTTTAGAATTATTCCTGTTTTCTACTCCCCAGATGCCAGTAGCATACTCCTGCTGCCCCAATTTTAACAAGCAGAAGTGCCTCCAGACACAGCCTGGTATCCCCTGGAGAACAAAATCACCCCAGTTGAGAACCACTGCTGTACAGGACCATGATGAGGGCACACCATGAACATTTTCAGGGCGTGAGGGTGGGGAGGAGAGCAAGGGGGCTGGATGAGAGAGATGATAAAGGGATAATGTTTCTGAGATGAGAAGAAAGGGCGTCCAAAGCCTGCAACATGGGTAGGCTCTGAGAGGCACTCATTCATTGAGCAGTCAGATGCCTGCCATGGGCCAAGCACCTTGCTAGTCAGGATGGACCAGGTTTCTACTCATTGGAGCTTGCATTTAGTAGAGAGATGAAATTAAATTTATAACAGGTGGCAGTAATTATTTTGAAAAGGAAAGCAGGGTGAAGGGATTACAGGGTGACAGTGGGTGCTGTTTTCAGTGTCGACACCCAGGCTTCCCATGGGCATCTCAGTCAACTCCAAAGCCAAGAATGGCCACCATCAGTGACTCCTTGGAATCCTTTGATCAGGGAATCTAAGGGTTTGGCTTTTCTCCTCCCCAGTGCTGAGGTCTGGACTCTTAACAGGGAGAGGTCAGATCTCCAGCCCGCGACTGAGGCTTGGAGACTGGAGCAGTAGTTCTAAACTATGGCCTTGCATATAATTTAGAAATCTTAAAAGATAAAAATAAGACATGCCTGGACTCCATCCCCAGAGATTCTGACTTAATGGTTCTGGCAAGGGGCCCAGCCATCAGTATTTATTAAAAAGCTCCCAAGAGATTCCTGTGTACAAACAGGGTTGAGAGCTACAGCTGTGAGAGTTTGTGGGCTTCTCAGAATGAAAGAAATTAATTCTGAGTGCTTTCAGTATCTTATCAAAGGCAGTCCCTACAGCTGCACTTCCCTGCAATAGGGACATTCCTAGCCCCATCCTACAAGTGAGGAAATCAAATCTGTACCTGTGCCAGCAGAGCAAGGGCAGATCTGACATTCAGATGCAAAGCTTATGTTTTCTGCTATAGCTGGGCTTGGGTCTTTGGAGAAAGTACCTTTCTATATCCCCGGCCTCTGGGGCTGGCAGGTTCAGGATAGAGGTGATCTTAAAATACTAGATAGGTGGTATAGCAAAAACAAACTCTGGCTGAACGGAGGCAATGTGTGGGTGCATTAATGGCTGGCTTTCAGTTATGTCAGGACCCACCCCAACTCAACACCCAGCACAGGCCCCCAGGATCACAGGGGTGCTGTGCCCCAAGGGGAGGCATGGCCACTGTCCAGTAACTCTTTTTATTTTAATTTATTTATTATTATTTTTTTTTGGCTGCATTGGGTCTTCGTTGCTGCACGCGGGCTTTCTCTAGCTGCGGCGATCGGGGGCCACTCTTCCTTGTGCACGGGCCCCTCATCGCTGTGGCCTCTCCTGTTGTGGAGCACTGGGCTCCAGGTGTGAGGACCTCAGCAGCTGTAGCAGTGGGCTCTAGAGCGCAGGCTCAGCAGTTGTGGCACACGGGCCCAGTTGCTCCACGGCATGTGGGATCCTCCCAGACCAGGGCACAAACCCGTGTCCCCTGCACTGGCAGGCGGATTCCTAACCATTGTGCCACCAGGGAAGTCCCTCCAGTAACTCTTTAAGCTTGTTCTCATCCAGGTTCTAGCCATCCCTACCTTAGGAGCAGGAATTTAGCTTTGTGCTAAATTGCAAAGCCCCTTCCCACCCTAAGGTCTGGGACTCGGAAGAGAGGCCAGGTTTACAGCGCTGCCCTGACGTGGTGTGGGATCCAGCCTCTTTATTTGTGGTGGTGATGGTGTTTTGAAAAGGTAATTGTATATATGATACAGAACGCCAAAGCGTAGATAGATAGGGAAAAGTGAGTTTTGAGTTTCCAAGCTTAGTGACCCAGTTCCCTTCTTCAGGGACAATCGCTGCTACCAACTTCTTTATTTCCCTTCCAGAACTTGTCTGTTCCTTTTCAAACTCATGTATTTGTATCCTGTATTTTGTTTTTTCTAAGCATTTTCTCTGTATCTTTATTCTCCTCATTACCCCATATCTTGGAGATCATTTCACACAGTACATATAGAGCAGATTTCTCAACCTCAGCACAGTTGACACTTTCGGCCAGATTGTCCTTTGCTCTGGTGCTGTCCTGTGCATTATAGGATGTTTAGAAGTATCCCTGGCCTCGACCCATTAGATCCCAGGAACACCTCCCACCCCCAAGTTGGGACAACCACAGATGTCCCAGGCATTGCAAGTGTCCCCGGGGGGCAAAATTGCCCCCAGTAAAGAACCTCTGAGGTAGTGCTGCCTTGTTCCTTTTAAGAACTACACGGTGTCCCATATGTGCGTGTAACATTCACTGATTTTCTTATTGATGGGCAGTTGTTTCCAATCTCTTGATAGGAGTAGTAATTGTAATAGGGAAGAACCTTTGTATTCTTTTTTTTTTTTTTTGGCTGCACTGTGAGACATGTGGCATCTTAGTTCCCCCGACCAGGGTTCGAACCTGTGCCCCTTGCAGTGGAAGTGCAGAGTCCTAACCACTGGACTGCCAGGGAAGTCCCAGAACCTTTGTGTTCTATTACAAGTTAATCACTAAAGGGAGGTTGCTTATAAGCTTGAATTACGCATAATGGGGTTCTCTGGGAAACCCTGCCTCCCAGGTAATGAGCATTAAGCTAAAATACCTTTGTTTAGCCCATAGGAAACATCCTGACCAAACCCACCTGTGAATGACTGCAGGAAGGAAGAAATTAACACATCCCCTCTGAAATGTTTGACTTTTTTCCCTCCCTTTTAGTATAAAAAAATCTTGAATTCTAACTCAGGAAAGATGATTCTTTGGGACGTGAGTCATCATCATCTCCGTCTGCTGGCTTTCCGAATAAAGTCACTGTTCCTTGCCGCCCCAACAACTCGTCTCTCGATTTACTGGCCTGTCGTAGGGCGAGCACTATGAGATTGGCCTCAGTAACATAATGATAATAAAGAAACTAACATTTGTTTAGCACTGGCACTGCTCTAAGTGTGTTACATGTTTTCATTCATTTAATTTTCACCACAGCCCAGTGGAGTCATCATTGTTATTTGCCTCATTTGACTGTTGAGGAAGCTCAGGCCCAAGGAGGACAGGGAGCATGTCTGAGGTCACACAGGTAGCGGGTGGCAGAGTTGGAAGCTGAACCCAGACAGCCTGGCTCCAGATGGATGCCCTTCACTGTAGGACTGTACTGCCTCTTCCTACAAACCCTGTCATTTTACACACATACGAGAACGTCTGAAGACAAATACCAGAAATGAGGTTACTGGGTTAAAGGGTATGTGCACCTTCAGCCTTAAAGATATTGTTGGGCTTCCCTGGTGGCGCCGTGGTTGAGAGTCCGCCTGCCGATGCAGGGGACGCGGGTTCGTGCCCCGGTCCGGGAAGATCCCACATGCCGCGGAGCGGCTGGGCCCGTGAGCCATGGCCGCTGAGCCTGCGCATCTGGAGCCTATGCTCCGCAACGGGAGAGGCCACAACAGTGAGAGGCCCGCGTACCGCCAAAAAAAAAAAAAAAAAAAAGATACTGTTAATTTCTCTCCAACCAGCACTGTGTGAGAATTCTTACTTCGGCCCTCTTAGTGTCAGGCTTCCTTGATGCGTGGTATATACTGAATTAAAAAGGAAAAGGAAGGCAAGAAATAACCGTGTGGCTGTTGCTGAAGATATCTCATGTAAACTTTTAACAGCTAAGGGTGAAGCAGGTTTTGTTTACCCCATTGCACAGGTGAGCAAACAGGCTTTGTGTGGCTCTCCCACAGCCAATAATTGGCAGAAGCGAGCTTTGAATCCAGAATTATCTAATATCAAACTGCTGTTCTTTCCTCCTCCCCAGCAGTGCTGAGTTCCTTGGAGAAAATTATTTTGTGGACAAGAATCGTGCTCCTTCAACTTGGGGTGTGTGCCAAGGGCAAACAGCCATGAGAATCCACAGGATGGATGCGTTGCCACTTCCTGGAGCAATCCATTTTACTTGAGGAATCAGAAGAGAAGAATCTGGTAAATGATTTAAAGCATGATTTTATATTAACACAGACTCAGATTTATCATGATGTAGGATGCAAAAAGTTATATGGATGTTTCAGAACAAAACAGAAGATTTCAAGAGTTTTATGTTATGGGGCAACTGCATTGGGGTATTCTCAGGCCACAGAGCTAGCCATTAACCCTCCTCTACTGTGCAGGGACATTTGTCAGAAGTTCTCAGACGCCACGTGTCAGTGAAGTGCTAGAGCTGGCTTGCCCCGCCTCACATGAACCCGTTGTGCACACCTCTCCCCAGTTCCATGTTCAGTGACATCAGTTTGATATATTACAGTGGGCCCTGGTGGGAGTATGTACACCATGGAAATTGGCAGACACTGCAAATTACCCAGCACATCACTGTCCCAAGGTTGAATACAGAGAGAATTCAGGCATCCAGGATTCTTTGTCACCATTTTCTACACAAGGGAAGTCTTGCTCAGCACAGTCAGAATTGAAGGCCAGGCCACTCGGTTTGTCACTGAGCCACAACTCATCAACCTTAGTGTGGTCTGCTCCAAAGCTCCCCAAGTGCTGTGGCACTCTGATATAACAGAGGTACATATCTCGTAAATGTGGTGCCACATTGACACCTCCCAAACCCTGCCAGAGAAGACAGTGTGAGTATTTGCCGTGTAGACCCTTATCCTGCTCCAAGAGGGCAGACTGTGCTGCATGTGGATGGGGCTTAAACCCAGGCTTCATCACTTAAAGCCCTGAGACGTCGGGCAGGTCTTCTTCCCTCTTTCATCCTCAGAATGGAAACTGGAACCCATGTGGTCAGTTTGCTCTAAAGGTGAAATCATATAATGCATATAAATATCCAGTACAACTCTCAGTCTCATACTTACTACTTTTATTGATTTTTAAATTTTTATTGGGGTATAGTTGATTTACAATGTTGTGATAGTTTCAGGTGTACAGCAAAGTGAATCAGTTATACATATATCCACTCTTTTTCAGATTCTTTTCCCATATAGGTCATTACAGAGTATTGAGTAGAGTTCCCTGTGCTGTACAGTAGGTCCTTATTATCTCATACTTATTATTAACTGGGAGGCATTGTTGTCACCAGGGGTTGAGCACATTTAACATGCACACACCTGAGGGCTTCCCCAGAGTACAGAAGGACAGTAGACTGTTCAGAACAAAAGACTCACAGCCCACAGCACTGGCCACATGCCAGACTAATAACAACAAAAATGATAAGTACAGCTACCATGATAATTGTCTTATTTGCTCCTCACAGCAGCAGCCCTTCACCTTCCTTTTGCAGACATAAAGGATCAAGGTAAAGACCCAGTAAGGTTCAGTGTCTTGCCCAAGGCCACACAGATAAACACAGGAATGTTGGTCAACTCACAGCGTGCAGTGGAGAACAGGAGGTGAAGGCAAAGGCAGATGTAGTAACAATAGAATTAGTTTCCCACGTAATGAAGTGGCACCTACTGCATGTTCAAGAGGCCCCTACCCCAGCTAAGGGGGCCAGGGAGGGCTCTTTGAAGAAGTGATGGTAAAGAAAGTATTTACTACTGGGCCTTTAGTCATTCAGGTAGCGAATAGTCAGCCAGCCCCTTCCACGTGCCAGCTCCTGGTCCAGGGCACATGGAGCTTATGCTCAAGTGGTTGGGACAGACTGTAAGCACCAGAAGCAAATCACATAGTGTGTTAGCGAGGAGAACTGTGGAGAAAAGAGAAGTCAGAACTGGGAAAGGGAGAGGTGGAGGGTGATGGATAGGAGGGTCAGAAGTAGGTTGCAGTAATAAATACAATGGTTAGGGTGAGCCTCACAGATAAGGTGAGGTTAGAACAAAGATCGAAGGGAATGAGGAACTGAGACAGGGGAAAGAGCATTGCAGGTGGGGTCCTGAGGCAGCACTGTGGCAGCTCGTTCAGGGATTGGCAAGGAGGCCAGTGTGAGGAAGGGGAGAATTGTAAGACCTGAATTCATAGCTCATGGGAGGGAAAATAAGGCCAGATACTACATGTAGACTCTTACCTAATCCTCACAACAACTCCAGAAGTAGTTCTGTGTTGCCCCCGTTTAACAGGGGAGGAAACTGGCACAGAGAGGCTAAGTAATTTGCCCAAGGTAACACAGCTAATAAAAATAGTCATCAAGCGCAGGTGGTCCAACTTCAGAGTGAGGTGTTTAACACACACCAGGCCACCCAGCCGTTCCCTGTAACCCAGGTGAAGACAGGGCAGGGCTCCAAGCTCCTTCTGGACCTGTGAGTCTGAGTTAGGCAGGGCTGGTGTCCCACGGCTCCTTTCTGCCCTGTTGGAGTGACCTCATAGGCTAACCTCAGTGATCTCCAACCAGCCCCTTTCATCTGGCCTTAGTGCATCCCTGAGATTCCTCTGAATCATGCATTTTTTTAGCACCAGGTCATTGACAGAAGAGAAGAAAAGCCCACTTATAGGGCACATGAATGGGAAGGAACAAATGGAAGGGTCACTGTATTTGTTTCCCATTGCTTTGGTGACAAATTACCACCAACTTAGTGGCTTCCAACACACCTTCATTCTCCTACGGTTCTGAAGGTCAGATGTCTGGAATGGTTTAGGCAGGGCCATGTTCATTCTGGAGGCTCTGGGGAGAATGTGTGACCTTGCCCTTTACAGCTTCTAGATGCCACCTGCATTCCCTTCCTGCATCTTCAAAACTGGTGGCACAGTGTATCCAGACATTTTTCTCTCTGACTGTGCTTCCATCATCTTCTCTGTCTCTGACCTCCTGTCTCCCTCTCATAAGGGCCTTATGACCACATTGAGCCCACCTGGATAATCCAGGATCATCTCCCCACCTCAGCATCCTTCATTTCGTCATATCTGCAAAGTCCCCATTTTGGCCTTTTTTAGACCCTGGCCTTTTCCAAAGACAAGAGGGCTTGGAATGACTGCTGTTAGAACTGTTCTCTGTGCTGTGGTTTCAACATAAAATGGTTGCACTCCACCCCACTTTCAGCATGCCAGGAAGCATTCTGGACTGGTTACTAAGTCAGTCAATAATTTTTATTGAGCACCGCTTTGCACAGGGCATGGTCTCACATGGGAGGAGAGAGTGAACAAAACAGTTAAGGTGTCTGCTCTCATAGAGCCCAAGTCACATGGGGGAGATGGTACCTGCATAAACAAGCCCTTTTCAGGAAGCTGGGGGTACTGCACAGAAAATGGAGCAGTAGAATGGCGTAGACTGTATAGTATGAAGCAGTGCTGTCCTGTAGAAACATAATGCAAGGCAGAATTTTAAATTTTCCGGAAGCCATATTGAAAAAAGTAAACAAATTATTAAAGTTAATTTTAATAATACATTTTGTTTAACTCAATACAGTATATCTGAAATATTACCGTTTTAATTCATAATCAATATAAACAGTTACCAGTGAGATTTTTTTACATTCTTTTTTTCTTTTTTAACTGAGTCTTTAAAGTCAGGTGTGTCTTCTACATGTATAGTGCACCTCAATCCAGACACTTAATTGATCTGTATTTAAATTTCATAAAATTTACCATTGGAAAAGTAGATTCAACACCCAAGTTATTCCAAACATACTTAAAAGTTTATAGTAACTGAGTTAAGGATCAATTCTTAATTTTAGATTAATAATAAATTTTAATTCAGTGATTTTAGTATTTATCATTTATTATGGTTTTAATAATAAACAAATTGAAATAAAATTAAACAGTTTCTTATTTCCAGAACTCCGCGTCTCACGTGGCTGCTGGCATGTGTTGGGCAGCACAGGTATAGAGTGGCTCAGGGTGATAGAGGGCCTCCTGGGGAGGTGATACTTGACGTCTCACCTCTTCCTCTCCCACTAATGCACACCATTGAGATTACCCTTCTAGATTTCTGCATACCTATCTAATGAGTCCCTTCTCCAGCTGTTGCTTCCCCCTCGCCCCTCCCCCACCACACACACCCAGTTTATTTGCCACATAGCCACCGAGAAAAATTTTGTTAAATGTTAGGTCAGCCACATCATTCCTCTGCTCAGCCACCAACCCCCCATGATGACTTATTGCGCTTAGGATGAATTCCAAACTGCTCCTCACCCCTTCATGATCTGGCCCCTCCTGCCCTCACACACCTCCTAGTCCACCACTCCCCGTCTCGCTCACTCTGCGTCAGCTCACCCGCCTTCGCACTTCCCTTCACATGCAAGCATGTGCCTGCCGCAGGGCCCGTGCACCTGTTGTACGTCTACCCAGAATGCCCTTCTCCCAGTGCCCAGGTGGCTCACACTGCAGTCACACCTCGGCTCAATGTTGCCTCCTCTGAGAGGCCTTTCCCTGCCACCCCGTCACTCCATCCCCTGCTCGGGTCCTTTTTTTCCTGCATAGCAGTGATCTCAGCTAACACTGTGTTCTTTTTTTTTTTTTAACACTGTGTTCTATCTGGACTTGTCTTCCCTGCTGGAATGTAAGGTACTTGGGAGCCAGTACCTCTCTGCTCTAACTCTGCTCTCTCCCCAGCACTGGGGACAGTGCCTGGCACCTGATGAACACTCCACAATTCCTTGTCAAATGGAAGAACAGGTGTCTGCCTGTCTCATTTGCCTCCTGATCTGGAGCCTCCTGTGATCTTAAGAACAGATAGTGTTGGCCGTGGTCCCTCCCTAACCCTGAGAAGGGGCAGGAATGCTTCAGAAGATGTTGTGACCTCCTGCAATGTGCACGTCTGTGCACGTGTGTGTGACCAGGGTGTGGGGCCAGGGGATTCTTATCCTAGAGACGCTGGGACCACCCAGAAGGCCCAGTGACTCATGACTTCTCTTCTCTCCCAGCCCCACCTTCTCAGCACTCTGCCCCTCTTCAAATTGAAAACCTCAAGGGGGAGGAAAGGATGCCTGCTGCACGCGGGAAATCCAAGTCCAAGGTAAGTAGTTGTTCCTCGTCCTTTGGGAAAGTTCCATCGTGTAAGACACCATTTGCTTTCCTTCCATGGGAACATCCTATCCCACAGAGACCCAACCAAGACATAGTCCCTGGTTTCCTTCCATCACCACCACTGGGCGTGGGAGCGTGAGAAGGACCACTCAGCGTCCCCCCTCTCCTTTTTTCTCAGTGTGCACATGACCATTCATCTATTCATTCAGCATCTCCAGGGTCTCTGCCTGTGCTGGGAAGAATACTGTCCCCAGAGAGAAGACCAGAGCCACCATGATTTCTCGAGGTGGACATGAGTACCCAGGTGGGACCTGCTGTGGCAGAGGAGGATTGGATGCTGTGCTCCAGAGTTAATCTCTTGATGTTGCTTTGTTTTTACATGTACACCCCATTTTTACAAGGAGGACATCTCTCTAAGAGACTCCTCATGACCCTGTATTCAGGTTGAGTTAGTTGGAGCCAGGCCAGTGAGTCAGCCTCCTGAAATAAGCATGTTTCAAGACTTTAGATGATGAAGTGATTTTCTACAATAAGCCTCTTCAGTGTAGTTTCTCATAATAGACACTTCTGCCCTCTAAGTTATGTGTATTCATTCCCTGTTGCCACAAACTTGGCCATTCAAAACAGCACACATTTATTATCACACAGTCTGTGGGCTGGAGTTCAGATACAGCTTGGCTTAGCTGGATCCTCTGCTTTGGGTCTCACAAGGGTGAAATCAAGGCGTCAGCAGCTGTGGTCTCATCTGAAGCTCAGGGTCCTCTTCTGAACTCATTGGTTATTGGCAAAATTAGATCCCCCTCCTGCATTTCATGTGGCTCCCTTCATCCCATCTTCAAACCAGCAGCAACAGGTCACATCCCATTCATCCTTCACATCTCCTAGACTTCCCTTTCTGCTCTCCTCTTCCACCAGCTGGAGAAAATGCTTTGCTCTTCGGGGCTCCTGTGATGACATCGGGTCCACCTGGATAATCCAGGCTACTCTCCCTATTTTAAGGTCAACTGATCAGTAACATTGATTACATCTGCAAATAAACTTTTGCCATGTCTAACGCAGACACATGTGGTTAGGGACATGAATCAGCAGCCAGACTGCCCAGATTGAACCCCAGCTCCTTCATTTACAAGCTATTAGATCTTCAGTAAGTCACCTCACATCTCTGGGCCTCAGTCACTGGCTAACATGAGCCAGTACATGCAGAGTACTTAGAAAAATGCCTTGTCTTTGTCAATGCCCTGTAAATCCAAGTTGATATGCTTTTTATGCAACAAAATACCATGTTGCATTGTGTTTTGTTTAATACACCTGCCCCTTTTGATCTCAGAACCGCAAATGTTTCCTTAATAGAATCCTGGCACCATGTATCTCCCGTATTTGGAAGTCCAACGTTTTCTCAGCCATGTGGAAGCACAAGCCCACAGTGAAAGAACGTGTGATTTTCCATTTCAGGCACCAGTCACATTTGGGGATTTGGCCATCTACTTCTCCCAGGAGGAGTGGGAATGGCTGAGCCCCATTCAGAAGGATCTGTATGAAGATGTCATGTTGGAAAACTACCAGAACTTGGTTTCTCTCGGTAAGGCTCTCCTGCCCCCATAATCCACAGCTGGCCCATCGTGGGACATGAATCAGTCAGTCTAGTCAAGAAAACAGAAGCCACTCCAGTTTTTTTTGTTGTTGTTTTAATGGCTTTATTTAGGTATAATTTACATATTATACAATTCACCCATTTGCAGTATGCAATTCAGTGATTTTTTAAATGTATTTACAGAGTTGTGCATCCATTACCCTAGTCAATTTTAGAACATTTTCATTATCCCCAAAGGAAAGCCTATACCCATCATCAATCACTTTTTATTTCCCCCTGCCCACTAATCCCGCCAGATTAGGCAAACACTAATCCACTTTCTGTCTCTATGAATTTGCCTGTTCTTGGCATTCCATAAACATGAAATCAAATATGTTGTCCTTTGTGTCTGGCGTCGTTCACTTAAGGTAATATTTTTGATGTTCATCTACATGGTAGTGTGTGTCAATACCTCATTCCTTCTTATGGCGAAATAATATTCCACATTTTGTTTATCCATTCACCAGTTGGTGGGCATTTGGCTTGTTTCCACTGTGTGGCTGTTACGAATATGCTGCTGTGAATGTTCACATACAAATTTTCGTGTGGATGCATATTTTCATTTCTCTTGGGTATATACCTAGGAGTGGTATATGCTGGTCATACGGTAACTATATATGTAATCTTTTGAGGACACCTGGCTTGTTTTTAAGAGAAAAAATTTAAAGTATTGACTTAACAGGTACTATTAAAAGGTGAATATTAGACACAGATGGTAACTGCAGGACACAGCCACCATCCTAGGGCTGGGAGGACAGAGGAAAGAGTTGAGAGTTTTTAGGACTCTGAGGAAGGGACTCAGACTTCTGAAGGAGAGGGGTGCACTGCTTGGTTTATCCTTCTGAGGGGGCAAGATGAGGCTAGTTCTGGAAGTGCAGGGAAAAAAAGAAAAGCATAAATTGAAACCACCAGTACCCCTATTGGTGGATGCTGACACAGAGCACCTGGCATAGAAGTGTGGATTACAGCAGAACGGTGGGCTTGGGAGCAGAAAGGCAATAGCTGAATAACCAGCCTCAGGAGTTTCTGGTCCAACTTTTCATGAAAATAGTTGGCTTTGTAGAGTTAGAAATGAATAACTCTGCTGGCTATGACTGAACTTTCATCCTTCTTATTCTCCACCTATCCTTTACATCCTCCATGCTCCTCTTGCACTAATAAGCCCCATTTTTGTTGACACAAAGCTTGGCTCTGACAAGCATGTGTCAGTGTCATGTCAAGCATGTCATGGTGCCCACATCATGCTCAGTTCCAGTGTTTTTCCTGTGTGCAGGACTTTCCTTTCGGAGGCCAAATGTGATCACCTTATTGGAAAAAGGGAAAGCACCCTGGATGGTGGAGCCAGTGAAAAGACGCCGGGGCTTGGGTGAGTGACAGAGAACCAAGGCTTAGAAGCTGGCATTCTGTGTAAAGGTGCCCTCCATCATGAGAGGGCAACATCTTTAAGATAATAGTTGAGAGCCACTTTCTCCACCTCAGAGGCCCCAGGCTTGTGCAGAAAACGCAAGCCTCTTCAGTATGAGCCCCAAGAGGGAGAATAACCAACATTTAACAAGCTCCTTATTAGGTACTCTTTTAAGTACAGGTTCCTCCCAACAACCCTATAAGGTAGGTACTATTATTATTCCTATTTTATAGATGAGGAAGCTGAGGGCCAGAGAGGTTCGGTGACTTGCCCAAGGTCACCCAGCTAGGAGGTGGCAGCAGAGTTGGAGTTTGAACCCCAGCTTCCGGTCCCAGAAGCTCAGCTTTTAACAGCCTCATCCCCACCTATCCAGTCCCCTGCCTCGGCTTTCATATTTCCCTTCAGAGAAAGTGTGTTCTGATTTCTCTAATGATAGCATTTCAAATGATCAAACTTGCATCATTTTCTTCAATCCTTAAAAAAAAAAACTAAAAATCTTTTCCATAACTGTTTATTTTGACTGCTTTTCAAGAACTCATTCCCTTTTCTCATAGATTCCTCTTTGGTTGGTCAAGTTATGGGTTTTTAAAATTTTTTTGTGTTTTTTTGTTTGTTTTTATAGATTTATGAGTTTATTATTTGTGGTAAAAAGCACATAACATTAAATTTACCATCTTAACCATTTTTAAATGTACTGTTAAGTATATTCACATTGTTGACCAAGAGTTATCTAGAACTTTAATTTGCAATACTGAAACTCTGTATCCACTAAATACTAGTTCTTCCCACCCCTCCATTGAGCCCTTGGTATGATTTTGACTACTATGGATACTTCATATTAATGGAATCATGCAGTATTTGACTTTTTGTGACTGGCTTTTTTCTGCTTAGCATAATGTCATCAAGGTTTCATCCATGTTGTAGCATGTGACAGGATTTTCTTCTTTTTTAAGGCTATATAATACTCCATTGTATGTATATACCACATTTTCTTTATCCATTCATCTGTCAATAGACATTTGGGTTGCTTCCCCTCTTAGCTATTGTGAATCATGCTGCAATGAACATGGGAGTACAGATATCTCTTCGAGATCCTGATTTCAATTCCTTTGGGTATGTACCCAGAGGTAGGATTGCTGGATCATATGGTAGTTATGTTTTTAATTTTCTGAGTAACCTCCATGCCATTTTCCACAGTGGCTGCACGATTTTTCATTTCCACCAACAGTACACAAGGATTCCAACTTCTGCTCATGCTCACTAGCACTTGTTATTATTTTTTAATATTTATTTATTTGGCTGCGCCGGGTCTTAGTTGTGGCACCCGGGATCTTCGTTGCCGCTTGTGGGATCTTCGTTGCAGCACGCTGGTCTTACTGTGGCATGTGGGTTGTTTTTAGTTGCGGCATGTGGGTTCTTTAGTTGCGGCATGCAGGCTCTTTTAGTGCGGCATGCAGGCTCTTGGTTAAGGCATGTGGGATCTAGTTCCCTGACCAGGGATTGAATTGGGCCCCCCTGCATTGGGAGCATGGTGTCTTAACCACTGGACTACCAGGGAAGTCCTCTGGGGTTTTTTTGATAGTGGCCATCCTTATGGTGTGAGGTGATATTGTGGGTTCAATTTGCATTTCCCTGATGATTAGTGATGTTGAGGATCTTTTTATGTGTTTATTGGCCATTTGTCTGTCTTGGAGAAATGTCTGTTCAAGTCCTTTGCCCATTTTTTAACAGGGTTATTTGTCCTTTGTTTTTAAATTGTAGGAGCTCTTTATATATTTTGCATGTTAATCCCTTATCAGATATATGATTTACAATACCCATAGGTTGCCTCTTCCCTGTCGTTTTCTTTGACATGCAAAAGTTAAGTTTGAAGTAGTCTCATTTGTCTGTTTTTTCATTTTGTAGCATGTGCTTTTGATGCCATATCTAAGAAATCAGTGCCAAATCCAATGTCCTGAAGCTTTTCCCCTATGTTTTCTTCTAGGAGTTTAATAGTTTTAGGTCTTACACTTAGGTCTTTAATTTATTTTGAGTTAATTTTTGTATATGGTGTATGGTAGGGGTCCAAGTTCATTTTTTGCATGTAGATACCTAGTTTTCCCAACACCGTTCGTGGAAGAAACTGTTCTTTCCCCATTGTATAGTCTTGGCACCCTTGTTGAAAATCATTTGACCAGATTTGCAAGAGTTTATTTCTGGGCTCTCTATTCTCTTCCTTTGGTCTACATTATCTATCTTTATGCTACTACCACACCATCTTAATTATCAGGAAGTCTGAGCCCTCCTACTTCATTCCTCTCTTGCAAGATTGTTTTGGCTGTTCAGGGTCCCTTGAGATTCCATATGAATTTTAGGACTTTTTTCTATTTCTGCAAAAAGATGTTTTTGAGATTTTGATAGGGATTGCATTGAATCTGTAGATAACTTTGAGTGGTATGAACAGTTTTACAATATTAAGTCTTCCAATCCACAAGCACAGGATGTCTTTCCATTTATTTGTATCTTTTGATTTCTTTTAGCAATGTTTGTAGCTTTCAGTGTACAAGTCTTTCATCTCTTTAGTTAAACTTGTTCCTAGATATTTTATCCTTTTTGATGCTATAATAAATAGGATTGTTTTCTCAGTTTCCTTTACAGAGTGGTCATGGTTAGTGTATAGAAACACAACTGATTTTCGGGTGTTGATTTTATATCCTGCCACTTTACTGAATTCATTGATTGGTTCAAACAGTGAGGTAGTTCCTTCTATTCCTATTTTTTTGAGTGTTTTTATCATGTTAAGTTTTGTCAAAAGCTTTTTCTGCATCAGTTGAGATGATCGTATGGTTTTTATCCTTTAATTTGTTAATGTGATAGACTACATTTATTTTCCCATATTAAACTATCCTTGCATTCCAGGTATAAATCCCACTGGCTCATGTGTATGATCCTTTTAATATGTTGTTGAATCTGGTTTGCTAGTATTTTGTTTAGGATTTTTGCATCAGTATTTATCCAGGGATATTGGTCTGTAGTTTTACTTTGTTGTGATGTCTCTGGTTTTGGCATTAAGGTAATGATGGCCATATACAATGAGTAAGTATTCCCTCTGCTTCTGTCTTCTGAAAGAGATTATGGAGAATTGGAAAGATTTCTTCCTTAAATGTTTGGTAGGATTCACTAGTGAACACATAATGGGCCTGGTACTTTGTTTTTAAAGTTTATTAATTACTGATTCAGTTTTTTAAATAGATATATGCCTATTCACATCATCTTTTTCTTGTGTGAGTTTTGGCAAATTATGTCTTTTAAGGAATTGATCAATTTCATCTAGATTATCAGATTTGTGGGCATAGAATTGTTCAGTTTTCTTTTATTATATTTTTAATTTCCATGAAATATGTAGTGATGTCCCCTCTTTGATTTCTGATATTAATTTGTGTCTTCTCGCTCTCTCTTAGTCTATCTAGAGACTTACCAATTTTACTGATTTTCAAAGAACCATCTTTTTATTTCATTGTATTTCTCTATTGATTTCCTGTTCTCATTTTCAATGATTTGCTCTAATTCTTTTTTTTTCTGCTTATTTTGGATTTAATTTGCTCTTTTTCTAGTTTCCTAAGGGGGAAACTTAAATTTTTGACTTTAGGTTTTTGGTCTTTTCTATTATATGCATCCAGTGCTATAAATTTCCCTCTAAGCACTACTTTCAGTGCATCCCATACATTTTGATAAGTTGTGTTTCCATTTTCATTTAGTTCAAAGTATTTTAAAATTTCTCTTGAGATTTCTTCTTTGACCCATGTGTTATTTAGAAGTGTGCTGTATAATCTCCACGTATTTGGGGATTTTCGAGTCATCTTTTTGTTAGTGATATCCAGTTTAATTCCATTGTGGTTTGAAAGCAGACACTATGATTTCTATTCTTTTAAATTTGTTAAGGTGCGTTTTATGGCCCAGAATATGGTCTGTCTTGGTGCATGGTCCATGTGAGCTTGAGAATAATGTTAATTCTGCTGTTGGATGAAATACTCTATAGGTGTCAATTATATCCAGTTGAATGATGGTGTGGTTGAGTTCCATTATGTCCTTACTGATTTTCTGCCTGCTGGATATGTCCATTTATGAGAGGAGGGTGTTGAAGTCTCCAACTATGATAGTGGATTCATCTATTTCTCCTTGTGGTTCTATCAGTTTTTGTCTCATGTAGTTTGATGCTCTGTTGTTAGGTACATACGTGTTAAGAATTGTTATGTCTTCCTGAAGAATTGACCCCTTTATCATTATGTAATATCCCTCTTTATCCATGATAACTTTCCATGTTTTTAAGCCTGCTCTATCTAGAATTAATATAGCTACTTCTGTTGTCTTTTGATAAGTGTCAGCATGGTCTACTTTTCTCCATTCATTTACTCTTAATCCATATGTGTCTTCATATCTAAAGTGGGTTTCTTATAGACAGCATACAGGTGGGTCATGTTTTTTATGCACCCTGAAAAATCTCTTTTAATTGATGCATTTAGACCATTGACATTTAAAGTGATTATTGATGTAGTTGAATTTATATCTACCATTTTGTTACTGTTTTCTATTTGTTACCTTTATTTTTTGTTCCTATTTTCGTCTTCCACTCTTTTCTGCCTTTTAAATGAACATTTTATATGATTCCATTTTCTATCCGTAGCATACTTTCTTTTTTTATACTTTTTTTTTTTTTTACTTTTTAAACTCTTTTTAGTGGTTGCCCTAGAGCTTACAGTACACATTTACAGTTAATCCATGTCCACTTTTAAATAACACTGTACCACTTTGTGGATAGCATGAGTACCTTATAATAAAGTAATGCTAACTCCTTCCTCCTATCCCCTCTATCATTGCTGTCATTTACTTCACTTATATATATAAGTATACATTAGCATACACACACACATAAGATAAATATATAAGCATATGTAATCAAATACATTGTTGCTATTATTATTTTGAATAAACTGTTATCTGTTAGACTAATCAAAAATAATAAAAGGGTTTTTTTTTTTTGCCTTCATTTATTCCTTCTTCAGTGCTCTTCCTTTCTCTGTGTAGATCCGAGTTTCTGACTTACATTATTTTCCTTCTCTCCAAAGGACCTCTTTAACATTTCTTGCAAGGCACGTGTACTGGAAACAAGTTCTCACAATACTTGTTTATATGAGAAAGTCTTTCTCTTTCACTTTTGCAGGAAATTTTCACAAGGTACAGAATACTAGATTGGTGGGTTTTTTTCTCAGTAATTTAAATATTTCATGCCACTCTCTTCTTGCTTGCATGGTTTCTAAGAAGTTGAATGTAAATCTAATCTTTGTTCCTCTATAGGTGGGATCTTTTTTCCCTCTGGCTTCTTTCAGGATTTTTTCTTTGATGCTCTGCAGTTTAAAAATGATATGCAAAAAAAAAAAAAATTATATGCCTAGGTATGGGTTTCCTAACATTTATCCTGTTTTGTGTTCTTTGAGCAGCTTAGATATGTAATTTAGTGTCTGACATTAATTTGGGGAAGTTTTCAGTCATTATCCTTTTTTCTCTTTCTTCTCCTCTGGTATTTCTACTACAGATATGTTATTTCTTTTGTAATTGTTCCAGTCTTTGGATATTTTGTTCTGTTGTTTCAGTCTTTGTTCTCTTTGCTTTTCAGGTTTTGAGGATTTTATTGATAAATTCTTTAACTCGCAGAATCTTTCCTCAGCTGTGTTAAATCTACCAAAAAGCCCATCAAAGGCATTCTTCATTTCTGCTACAGTGGTTTTGATCTCTTAACATTTCATTTTGTTTCTTCCTTAGGATTTCCATCTTTCTGCTTACATTGCCCATCTCTTCTAATATGCTGTATACTTTATCCACTAGAGCCCTTAGCATATTAAACATACTTGTTTAAAATTTCTGACCTGATAAGTCAAACATCCCTGCCATATTTGAATCTGGTTTTGATGCTTGCTTTGTCTCTTCAAGCTGTGTTTTTTGCCTCTTGGTATGTCTTCTAATTTTTTCTTGATAGCCAGCCATGATATACCATTTAAAAGGAACTGCTCTAAATAGGCCTTTAGTGATGTGATGGTGAGGTGGGGGAGGAAAGAAGTCTTTAGTCCTATGATTAGGTTTTCAGTCTTTTAGTGAGACTTCTCTGGATTGTGAACATCACAAGTGATTCTGTTTTTCCCTCCCACGTTAGGTGGGACAAGCTGGCTAGAGCCAGGTGGAGTTGGATATTTTCCTTCCCCAGGTCAATTAAGCTCTGATAATACCTCAGCCTGGTAGGCTCTGGTTACCTACCTAGTGTCCCCTGAGGGCAGGCCTGGTTAAGAGGAACAGACTGATCTGGCATATTTCAAAATGATTCCTTTTCCCCACCCCCTGGAGGCAGCCCAAGATAATTTTTCTCCTATATTTAAGGTGAGAATCTGATCAAACTCCTAAAGGTACATCTTGCCATATTGTGTGGGCTGCTTTGACTAGGTCCCCCTGGAGTTTTTAACTCTCAGAGTTGTTGGCACTGAGCCTCCAACAATTCATTAATTATAGTTTAGGTTTTCCTGCCCCAGCACAGGTTCCCATGGTGGTTATGCTTGTGAGTCTCTGCTCCAGTAAGCTTCGGTTTGTCTCTCCAGTCTTGGGGGAAGTGGTTCGCCCCGTGCCCTCCCCTCTATAATGGATCTAAGAAGAGTTGTAGGGCAAAATGGTGACTTCCAAACTTTTACATGAGGAGCCAGAAACCAGAAGTCCAGTTTGGTTTTTTTTAAGATTCGATTTTAAGAATACATTTTAAAAATATACAACTTTATTGAGCCACATACTGTAAAATTCATCCATATTAAGTGTATAATTTAGTAGTTTTTGCTAAATTTACCAAGTTGTGCCACCATTGCCATAAACCAGTTTTAGAACAGTTTTGTCACCTCAGTAAGATCCCTCATGACCATTTACAGATAATCCCCATTCCCACCTTCAGCCACAGGCAACCAGTAATTTACCTTCTGTCTGTATTTTACCTTCTGCCCTTTCTGGACATTTCCTATAATAAAACTACATTCATCTGCTGAACAATGTATGGAGTTTAATGTGGTATATGGTATACATTTATTCCCTAAATAAAACCTTTATTCATTTCCAATTGCGCTTCCCTGAATTTCAGTTATGAAATGTTTCTAATAAAGCCCTTACTGTGTTAAAACCATAATGAGACACTAAAAAGTTATTCTGATTATCATTGTTATTATGATAATGATTGCAAATAGCTTTATTTTTCTAGCACAGGAAAACAAATTGAATTTCTTGATGTCTTTCAGACTTAGGGTCTAAATGTGAGACCAAGAAGTTATCTCCATATCAGTGCAACAAATCTGGGCAAAGCATCTATCAGAAAGCAGTTTCTGCACCACAAAAAGTTCCCACAGGAAGGAGAGGCTGCAAGAAAAATTCAGTCCTAATAAAACCCAAGAAAGTGCATTCAAAGAAGAAATCTCTAAAATGTAACGACTGTGGGAAATTCTTTAGTCAAAGCTTATCTCTTAAACTTCATCAGAACTCTCATACTAGAGAGAAGCCTTATGAATGCAGTAATTGTAGAAAAGCTTTCAGACAGATCTCATCCCTTATTCTTCATCAGAAAATTCACAATGGAAGGAAAAGCTATGAATGTGATAAATGTGGGGAAAGCTTCATTCAAAGAACAACCCTTATTTTACATGGGAGAAGTCACGATGAAAAGGAAATCTTTGACTGTGGGAAGGCCTTGAGTCAATGCCAATCTCTCAGTATACATCAGAACATCCACCTTGTCCAAAATGTCTACCAGTGCAGAAAATGTGAGAAAGCCTTCATTCGAATGTCATCTTTTTTACTTCATAAGAAAATTCACAATGGAAAGAAAATACATAAATGCAATGAATGTGGGAGAGGCTTCAGTAAGAAATCCGTCCTTGTTATACATAAAAGAATTCATACTGGAGAGAAAACCCATGAAAGTGAGAAGGCCTTAAGTCAGAGTTTACAGCAGCGAAGTCACCATGTAGAGAATCCTTATAAATGCAGAAAATGTGGGAAATTCTTTAATAGGATTTCATCCATTATGCTTCATCAGAGAATTCACACTTCAAAGAAACCCTACAAATGTGATAAATGTGAGAAGATCTTCATGCGGCTTTCAACCTTTACTCTACATGTAAGAATTCATAATAGAGAGAAACTATACAGATGTAATAAATGTGAGAAGGTCTGCAACCGGCATTCATCCCTTATTCAACATCAGAAAGTTCATACAAAGAAAAAGAAACTGTTTGAATGTAAGGAATGCGGGAAGATGTTTTCTGGCATTGCCAACCTTAAAATACATCAAAACATTCATTCTGAAGAGAAACCTTTCAAATGCAATAAATGTAGTAAAGTTTTTGGCCGCCAATCATTTCTTATTGAACATCAGAGAATCCATACTGGAGAAAAACCCTATCAGTGTGAGGAATGTGGGAAAGCCTTCAGTCACCGAATATCTCTTACTCGACATAAGAGAATTCATACTGAAGATAGACCCTATGAATGTGATCAGTGTGGGAAGGCCTTCAGTCAGAGTGCACACCTCGCCCAACATGAAAGAATTCACACTGGAGAGAAACCATATACATGCAAAACGTGTGGGAAGGCCTTTAGCCAGCGTACATCCCTTATTCTACATGAAAGAAGTCATACTGGAGAGAAACCCTATGAGTGTAACGAATGTGGGAAGGCATTTAGCAGTGGCTCAGATCTTATTCGGCACCAGAGAAGTCATTCTTCAGAGAAACCCTATGAGTGTAGTAAATGTGGGAAGGCATATAGTCGGAGCTCATCCTTGATTCGACATCAGAATACACATTCTGAGGAAAAGGCTTAAGATTGTTTTAAATATGTAAAAGCTAAGAGGGAGGCTAGCAAAGTAGCAGAGACACAGGCATGGGAAAATGCATTTGTCTATAACATAAATTGTGTAAAAATGGGACAGTGTGATGGTGTGTCCCACTTTGAAACCCAAAGAGCAAAAGTCATTGGTGATTTTGACCTGAGTATTTGAAATCAACTGAGGCAGTGACTTTACCATAGGTCTTTGTTTCAAAATAGCAAGCTCAGATGATTGGATCAGTCATTTTTAATGAAGAGCATTCTTCATTTGATAAAAATAACTGGTACTTTATTTCCAATGTAATTTTAAAGCTATTTCATTGGTTATGTACAACAAAGTGAATTGTAAATCCATTTTTCTGGATGGAGCTGTGAGCCTGATTTAAGGTAACATGAAGAAAGAGTTTGAGTTTGTCCCTTAGAACTAGAAGTATCACACAGAAGGGATTTCCTCACAAACCAGGGTGCCATTTTCAGCTGGCAGAAACTTCTGGTTGAGAATAAAGAAGATTGAGTAAAGATAGCACTCATAATTGTGTGAAGCAATAGAGTCATTACCATACTGTCTCTATGGATATGAAGACATATGATCTTAATGGTGTGAAAAATCTAACAAGCCTGGGACAAGCTAATGAAAAAAAAAACAGGATGTATTGAAGAATGAGGAACTTCAGAACAAGGAGAAATCATTTGTTATTGTTTTGTTTGAAAATGAATTTATATTTATATGAATAAACATTGGTATTTTCATGTGAAAACACTGGTGTACAAGTGATTGGTGGAGAATGGGATGTCATGGACTGAATGTGTCCTCCCAAAATTCGTTTGTTAAAACCCTAATCCCCAATGTGATTGTATTTGGAATTGAGGCCTTTGGGAGATAATAAGGGTTAGATGAGGTCATGAGGGTGGGGCCCTCATAATAGGATTAGTGTTTTTAAAGAAGAGACACCAGAGACCTCTGCCATGTGAGGACACAGCAAGAAGGTGGCTATCTGCAAGCCAAGAAACTAGCCCTCACCAGTATCCAACCTTGTGGCATCCTGATCTCAGACTTTCAGCCTCCCAAACTGTGAGAAACAAATTTTGTTTACATCACCCAGTCTATGGTATTTTGTTATGGCAACCTAAACTGACTAATACATGGGAAAAACCCTGCATTTATGTGCCAGGCTCTTTCATGTCAGCTGTTCACCATATATATAATAGTTTTCAATGCTGCTTTCCAGTTTGTGCAAAATGTGTAAGAAATAAAATCAGAATTCTTTTTTGGAATTAGGTTATATACAGTTGGACTCTTCTGTGTGCGTTTTTCTGTTGCAAAAGCTACTTTTGAAAGCACCTATATCTAAGACAACTTTGTGAAATGTTTGACCACATAGATTAGGTCCCTCTAACTTTGACCACAGCTGAGAAGACGACAACTGGATTTGTGAAGGGAGCATGCATGTAGGATAATAGAACAATTTTCCATTTAAACTTGTCATATCAGTCTGCAAGATCAGCATAAAAAATCAACACTTCAAGCAAATGGATGAGCAAACAGCATAGAGAAGGCTCACGGAGGGGCATGTTTTTTCTCCCTATCCTATACACACACCCCTCTACTTTGTTAAGTCCTCTGTCAGTCTGCCATAGAGGTTGGTTCCAAAATAATGGTCACAAACCTAATATGTACTAATAAGACACTGTTCTTGTCTGCAGGCATTTACAGTTTAGGGAATACAGGATATTTAAATATGGAAGCATATAAGGTACACAGGTAATATAGAGGATGATGAACTCCATGGTGATGGATCACTTGGAGACAGCGATAGTATTAAAGGGAGAATAGATATTTACTAGGCACAGAAAAGTTGGGAGGCTATTGAAGGCAAGAGAAAGTACAGAGGTACAAACTAAAGGCAGAGGGTTGTGGAGTATTAGGGGAGTTACAAGTTCCAGCATTTAGTACAGTGACTGACACATAGGAAGTAGTAAGTACTCAATAATATTGAATGAATGAATGAATGAAAACATCTTAGTTTAGCTGGCCTGTCTCTAAGGCATAATCCAAAGAGAACACTGAAATTTGAAGGTCACACAGACACTGAGATTAACCCATGGAAAACATGCCCTCTAAGGAATCACTAGTGAATTTTGAAGGCTGTGATGAACTTAGGGTAACCACAGCAAGGAGCAACCTTAAACCTAGTCCAATTTTTAACTATATTAATGAAAACCTACATGAAGGGAATAACAGAAGGAATGACATGACCGTTTCTAGGGCTTAAATCTGTTTACCTCTGTTTCTACTGTCCTACATGAGATACCTGGGTTTGGGCCAAAAAATAAAAATTTACAAGACATACAAAAATGCAAGAAAAGTCACCACCCACCAAAAGACAAAGCAGTCAAGAACTAGACCCAGACTAACTCACACAGAATTTTAAATAATATGTTAAAGGCTCTAATGAAAAAAGTGTACAACAGGCAAATTAGATGGGTCATTTGATCAGAGATGGAACTATGAGAATCAAATGGAAATACTGAAATGAACACAATAAAGAGGTGGGAACAATACCTTCAACAGGCTCAAAGGTATACTTGACATAGCCAAGGAAAGAAGTCAACTTGAAGGTAAGTCAATAAGAATAGCCAAGCTGAAACACAGAGGAGGGCAGGGGTCACAGAACAAATCGTGCAAGAGCTGTGGGAAAAGATCTATTGGTCCGACACATGCAGAATTGGATTCCTGGAAGGAATAGAGAAATTGGGTGGGAAGAAATATTTGAATAAACAATAGATAATGACACCAGAACAAAAATCTATAAAGCTTCAAAGAATACAAGGAAAGATTTTTTTTAAAAAGACGTTACGTAGGAACAAAAGGGGGAAAAAACTGTCTTTATGAAATTTTTCATGAAAATGTCTTTCAGAATTGATAGAGAAATGAAGACTTTCTCAGAGGAGGAAAAAACAGAAAATACATTGCCAGAAGACCCTACTCTAACTTCATTTAACAGTTCTTTAAACAGAAGGAGATGCACAAAGAAAGAGATCTGGAAATGGAATAAATGAAGGTAAGATAGTTTTTTTTTAAAACTTATCTACCTAAAAGCTGTCTAAAACAGTATGCTATAGCATATATCAGTGTAAATAGATGACAGAAGCACAAAGGATGTGAGGGAGAAATTAAGAAATATATTGTGTAATATCTTTACTTGTTAATGTTACATTACTTGAAGATATATTCTGGTTAGTTAAAGACATATTGTAATCTTACAATAACCTCTAAAACATTTTAAAGAGATGTAAGCAGTTAACAGAATAAAATGGAATAATTAAAAATCCTCAGTTAACCCAATAGAAGGCAGAAAGAGAACAAAAACCAAAGAATAGGCAGAACAATTAGAAAATAGTTAAGAGGATGGATGGGTTTTAATCCAAATATATAAAAAATTGCATCAAATATAAATGGTCAAAACACACCAGTTAAAAGACAGATTATAAGATTGAATGAAAACGCAGGACACAGCTATATGCTGTCTAGCAGAAAGTCACTTTAAAGGCATAGGTAAAAGTTAAGTAGTGGGGAAAGAGAGATCATGCAAGCATTGGTAAAAAGGAAGCTGAATTCATTTTTAATATCAGATGAAGTAGACTTCAGAGTAAGGAATATAATCAGGGAAAAAGACAAACACTACATAACAATAAATTTTCTAGGTAAACATAACAATCCTAAACGTATATGCATCAAACTACAGAGGTGCAAATTTCACAAAGGAAAAAAGAAAGTGTAAATAGTCTACAATTATCATTAGAAACTTCACCACTTCTCTCTCAGTCATTGATAGAACAAGTAGAAAATCTGTAAGAATATAAAACTGAACAACATGATCAACCAAATTAATGAATTGACCTTTATAAAACATTCCACTCCACAAGAGTAGAATATGCTTTCTTTCCAAGTCTTCCAAATGTTCTTTCCACATGGAACATTTCACCAAGAGAGACCGTAAAACAAATCTTAATAAATTTTTAAAATTTCGTTACATAAAGTATATTCCCTGTTCATACAGAACTAAACTAGCAATAACAGCATGGTATCTGAAAATATTTGGAAGGTTTAAATTACAAATTCCACTTTTTTAATAGATACAGAATTAAATTTACTATTGAATAAATGGACCTACGCAGTTCAGACCCAAGTGATTTGGGGTCAACTGTAATGAGTACAGAGGAATCACAGAAGTAACTGAAAATGCTGGGATTTAAATCATGATGGGAAAGACTCATTATGTGATACTTTCTGTGCCGTTTTCTGGTATGTCACACACTCCTGGAAATACATAAGAATTCAGAAATTGGCTAATAAGCATCAAATAATTTAATCTTCAAACGTGTGGGTTTTTCTTCAGCAGTTTCTTCTTTCTCAGATACATATGCAGAAATGCAGGCAATTCAGGCAGATGTAACAGGTTAGAAATGAGAAAGCCCCCAATTTCCCACCTGATTTTAAAGTCAAGAACTTGACATGTAATTTAACTTCTTAAAGTGCAGACCCCTCCACTGCTTTGGCTGCATCTCGGGCCACCCCCCTCGGGCCCCGCCACCTCGAGGAGCAAGCCCGCCTTTTCCTCCACTGCTGGCACCACATGACACGGAACCTACATCCTGTGGGCATCTGCTCGATGACCTCGTGCCGAGTTCGCCTCAGTCATTTCTTACTGCCCCAGTATGTTTGATTCCCAGTACTCCTGCCACATTGCCGGAAAATGGAATGAACTTTGAGTCATTTAGAAGAGAACAAGCAGCTATTTGGAAAAAGCCAAGGTAGACTGTACACTCAATCCTATTTTTTTAATTGACCAGTCCTGTATTTCCTCAAATTCGTTTGCAAGATACAAGTTTTTCAGTTTATGTTCCATGGTCATTAATTCTGCTTTTGACACTTCTTGACTATGAATTTAAAGTTAATGATCTTTTTGTTGACAGACAAAAGCTCATCTACCTTGCCTGCTTCATTATTTAAGATCCCAAAAGGTGAGTTTCACTTTGTGTTTATTTCATGAAGGTTATAAAATTTGCTGTGGGAAACTGGGTGTTACTAATTGTGGCAGATATATCAAGAAATCAAACATTCCTTTATAAAAAGCACTTGACAAAGGATAAACCAGGAATAAGTTGAAGAATTATCTATTTCTTCTTGAGTAAGGTTGGCAGTTTGGTTCTTTCAAGAAAATTTTTCCATTTTATCTAAGTGGTTAAATTTATTTACATAAAGTTCCCAATATTCCCTTATCTGTTTAATAACTGTGGTGATGTCATCTCTGCCATTCCAGATATTGGTAACTTGTATGTTATCTCTTTTTTTTTCCATATTGTCTGAAGATGTATTGGTTTTATTGACCTGCTTTTGTCTTTTCTGTTTCCTACTGATTTCTTTATTTCCATTTTTATGGTAACTGGGTTTCATTGCTCTTCATTTTCTAATTTGTTAAGGTGGAAATTGAAGTCATTGATTTGAGAGTTTTATTTTCCAACTTAGTAATATTATGTTTCCTTCTAAGTAATGTGTTAGCTGCATTCCACATATTTTGATATGCTGTGTTACAAGTTTCATTCAATTAAAAATACTTTCTGTTTTGCCTTTTGATTTCTCTTTTAACCCATGGGTTACTAAAAATTGTGCTATTTAGATCCAAATATTTGGGGGATTTTACAATTATCTTTCTATTATTGATTTCTAACTTAATCCATTCTAGTTAGAAAACATTTTGTATGAATTGAATCCTTTTAAATTTATTGAGATGTGTTTTAAGGCCCGGAATATTGTCTATCTTGGTAAATGTTCTGGGTGCATTTAAAAAGAATGCATATTCTACTGTTCTTGGGTGGAGTGTTTTTTAAATG